TTATAATGACTTTTATTGCAGAAATAAATTCTTTGACTTTGAATATTCAATTCTGGGATAACAAAGGCAATTGAAAATACTTTTTTTTATTTATTTAAAAAAAGGCTAGTTATCAGGTACTTGTGAGACCTAAAGTGTTAAAAACTTTGGGTTTTAATAAATATTATTTTTGAAAAATATATCATTTTAGTATTATTTTTGAAAAAAAAAAATGACTATAGTAAGCTTTGATTTTAAGAAAATACTAGTATGAGAAATATAATGATTTTTAGTTTTTAGGAAACGATGATTATAGAAAATATGATTTTTTAAGGAAATTATAAGTATCTTTTTAATTCTATTTCCCATCATATGTGCATAGCGCACACACATATAATATATATATAAAAGGTCTGGCAAACAAATATAACTGAACTTAGAATAGAAAACTTGATGATACCATTCACAAAATGGAACTAACACCATAAAAAATGACCATTTTGGAACTTTGGACCAACTCATTGAGATAACAGATTCTTAAAAAATAATAAATTATTATGAGTTTTTTTTTTTTTTGAAGCATCTTCTACAATATTAGTATTAAGGTATCACCAAACTCTTCAATAATCAAACTAGTCACTTAATAATGCCAAAGTTAAAATATTAACCACCACATAGGACTACATTAGATCCAGATACCACAATCAAGAAAGGAATATGAAGCATATGCAATTTAATCATGCACATATGCATCCCGCATCATATAAATTGAACACGCATAATCTGTAATAAAGCAAGAGTCTCGAGAATACCTTTTGTGTATTTTTTTTTCTTTAAACGAGACTTGCCTCTGACCTCCTACTTTTGATCAGGAAGAAATCTTGCTTTAACTTGAATGGCCTTGTCTATTAAGCAACTGACCATGTCTAATATAAAATGATTTATTTTTGGAGTCACCACCTAACAAAGGGTTATGGTGTGTTAGGTCACCCTAGGATGTCTGAAGACTTAAAAGAATATTTAAATATTGGGCATGGTCATTCTGTCGCATTAAACTCCTTTGCTGACCTATAGGTGTGTTAGGTCACCCTAAGATGTTTGAGGACTTAAAAGAATATTTAAATATTGGCCATAGTCACTCCGTCGCATTAAACTCCTTTATTGACCTATAAGTGTTTAATACAACCCTTAGAGAAGGTGCGGAAAAATCCGGGCGCGACATCACATAATCAAACAAATAAACAAATAATTTGTACATTATTAAATTAAACAAGCCAATTAATCAACAATAACAATTAAATACAAATAAAGTCAAATAAGACAAATAAACTAATTAAATACAATAAAATAACTGCTTTAACATATATGTGTATTACATCCTCTCCCTAACAAAGGAATTCTATCTCGAAATTCACCACATACCTTAATTAAATAACTCTGGAAATTTTGAACGAATTTCTTTTTCCTATTCCCAAATGGACTCGGCCTCATTATGATAGCTCCACTTAACACGCACAAGAGGAATAACCTTTGTGTGAAACACTTAATTCCTATTATTAAGAATATGACAAGGCGACTCTACATATGTTGCATGCGGCTGCAACTCTATCTCACCGACATCTATATGCTGATAACGATCCTTATCTCGCAGAAATCTCTGCAACATGGATACATGAAACACATTATGATCACGATGTAAATGGTTCAAAAGTGCCAACCTATAAGCTACAGCCCCAACTCGATCTGTAATCATAAGAGGACCCACAAAACGTGGTGACAACTTCCCTTTCTTCCCAAAACGCATTACTCCCTTCATGGGAGACACCTTAAGCAAAACCTAATCCCCAACCTTAAACTCTAAAGCATGAGTCTGACGGTCATCATAACTCTTCTGCCTACTCTGAGTAGTATGCATGCGATCTCGAATAAGAGCAATCTTCTCAAAGGTATCCTTTATGAATTCAGGACCCAAAAATCTGCTCTTACCAACCTCAAGCCAACAAACAGGATATCTATATGGTCGACTATACAAAGCCTTAAATGGTGTCATACCAATAGTCTTCTGATAACTATTGTTATAAGCGAACTCTGTAAGAGGTAAGTAATACTCCCAATTGCCCTTAAAATCAAAGACACATACTCTAAGCATATCCTCCATAATCTGATTAACTTTCTTAGTTTGTCTATCTGTCTGAGGATGATAAGTAGTGCTAAGATGCAACTCTATACCCAAAGCCTGCTGAAAGCTCTCCCAAAATCTCGACGCAAAATTCATATCTCTATCCGATATGATGGACAACGGTATGCCATGGAGCTTCACAATCTCTATAATATAAATCTTCGCCAACTGTTCTGAAGTGAAATCTGTACGAATTGGCAGAAAATACGTGAACTTGGTTAATCTGTCTACAATGACCCAAATAGAATTGTGACTCCTGTACGAGGCAGGCAATCCCTTAACAAAGTCCATGGAAATACTCTCTCATTTCTACTCTGGTATAGGAAGTGGCTGTAATGATCCCGGCGATCTCTGATGATCAATTTTATTATCTGGCAAGTACTACACTTAGAGACAAATATAGCTATATCCCTTTTTATGCATGCCCACCAAAATTGTCGCTTCATATCCTAATATATCTTATCCAATCCTAGATGAATAGAAAACTGAGAATTATGAACCTCAATCATCACATCTTTCCTCAAATCATTAACAGAAGGAACAACTAAACGGCTCTTATACCTTAAGCCTCCATCCATCTATGCTAACAGAGTAAAATGGAACATTTCCAGAAGCTAACTTTGCAACTCTATCAATGCACTACTGATCTGTGAGTTGTGCCTTAATTACCTTGTGGATGATAGCAGGTGTCACCACCATACATGCCACAAAAGCATTAGATAACGCATCCATTGTCCTCATAGTATCCCATTCTGTGGCAAACAAGGCTGAAAGACTAACATAGGGTCGACGACTGAGTGCATCTGCCACTATATTCGCTTTCCCTGGATGATACTGTATAGAGAAATGGTAGTATTTCACAAACTCCAACCACATGCGCTGCCTCATATTTAACTCCTTCTGTGTAAATAAATACTACGACTAAATAATCGAAAAGACTCCCCGAGAAGATAATGCCTCCAAATGCACATGACAAAGACTACAGCCACTCTAGAGCTGCTGAGACCTTGGCTGGATATACCGCTATCCCCTATTCTAACACCACGTGACCTAGAAATTTCACCACTCTACCACACTTCTCAAACTTGGCAAACAACTGATACTCTCGGAGTGTCTGCAACACTGTGCAAAGATGTCTGGTATAATCCTCCTTTAATTTAGAATAAACCAGAATATCATTAATGAATACAATGACAAACTGATCAAAATAAGCCCTGAATAATCTGTTCATCAAGTCCATAAAAACAGTTGGGTGGTATAAGGGTGTTGGTTTGGGACGGAATCGTGTAAGGACGAGCCAGGGTTCCACGTGGTTAAGAGTTCTGTATATGTTATTAGGAGTTATCTATTTCTCTTGTGTGTGAGTAGTTTAGTTTCACCTTGCGTGAGGGTAGATGTCCACGGTCGGACGTTTGATGAGTCTTATGTGGTAGGGTATTAGGTATACCCAGATCCAGGTTGTCAGTTCTGAGGAATGCATGGTCTATTTTCCTACCTGTTTGATTTTGTCCTGGCATGGACATTGTCATTTACCGGTTTCGTTTCTCCATATAGGAGTTGTGCGAGTTCGCGAATGAGCGAACTTCTATAGAGTCCCCTTCTGGTTAGGAGTCTATGGTAAGGATTTTGTAACGACCCGAAACCGGGGGTCCGAATCGCTAACTTGGTCCTTACCCGAATCCGAGGTCATCTAAAGGTATTACCATCATTTCCTATGTCCATAAGTAATATGTGCTTCCTCTTAAGGTCCATAACACACTAAACAACTAACATCACCGAAGGATCACAACCACAAGAGAAAAGGGCAATGTCAGCTGGCTGAAACTACATGATCAATCGGCCGATTGAGATAGTCAGCCGGCTAAAATGACAAATCTGGAACCCAACTCTTTGGATCTCTCAAAAATGACCTATCGACCGACTGATGATCCAGTGTTAGCCGGCTGACTGAGTTAGTCGGTTGGTCGAAACGACCTCCTCAGAAACACAACTCTCTGTCCTACTATGAAAATGCACTATCGGTCGCCTGACAAGCCTTGCCAGCCAGCCGACAGGCCCTGAAATGCTACAAAATCTATAGACAATGGTCCTATAACTCATGCATTCAACTGGGCTCTTTTATGAGCCAACCCTGCTAAGAAACCTGTCCCAACGCAAGGCAAACAATGTACAACATCCCAATCACCATGATGAACATACATGCTAAAAGAGTCCCATTCCTCCAATATACATCAATATGGTTCATTACATGATTTGGTAGCCATTTAAAAAATAACTGAAGCTACGTCAAATTATAGTCCATGAAGCATAGTTACGACCACAAGTTCATTAGTTACAACATTATACAAATTATACTAAAACTTTAGAAAAGAACAAGACTCCACTTACAAAAGACAACAAAATAGAGACTTCTAATCCCGTATAAGCATGTGGTGGTAGACCTATCAATGGATCAGATTCTGATCCGAATCCGATCCGATTAGGCGGATATGGATTGAACAAAAAATCCGATAACCCATTTATGATCTGAATTCGATAACCCGTTTACTTAACAAATCGGATATGAATTTTATCGATCCGATCTGAATTAAAATTATATATATATAATAATATATTTATATTAATATTATATATATATATATAATATTAATATAAATATATTATTATATATATATAATTTTAATTCAGATCGGATCGATATATATATATATATGTATTAATTATACACCATTGGATTATTTATCAGTGATTATGTACAGTTAGATCAATAGGTTGCATAATCATATAATGTAGTAGCCAACGTATTAATACCTCTCAAATAATATCTCAGACCCATTAGTACATTACCCATTGTTTGATTATACGGTCAATAGATCTGGAGACTTATTTCAAGAATCAAGAGTGAAGTGAAGAAAGAAAGAGATCCAACGAAACGACGATAGAGGGAGATCGAGCAACCAAGTGACTGAGTGAGTAGAAAGAGATTTTTGATTGAACCCTCTGGTATCATATTTCTCTCTCTTTTTTTTTTATTTTTTTTTTATTTTATCATTCTATGTTTACATGATGCCCTAATCTGTGTTGTTTGTTTTCTCTTTTGTAAAATCGTTTAGTTATTTCCTCTTATTTTCCTTCTATTATTCCTATTCTTATTCTCATATACAAGTTAGAAGCCAAAAATTCCATGTTTACGTGCCCTATTTTACCCTAATTTGTGTTTTTTTTTTTTTTTTCTTTTCTCTTTAATAAAATCTTTTAGTTATTTTCTTTTATTTTCCTTCTATTATTCTTTTCTCTCTCAATTTGATTTTTATTACATTTTCTGGTATAATATTTTCATAATTTTATCTCTATAAACTATCTTTCATTTTTTTTTTTTTTTTTTTTTCACGTTTCCTATCTAATTAATGAATAATATGTGGTTGTAGTATGTGCTCCATTGTTCGCAATGTCTGAAAAAGCTAATGAAAATGATGGTGATGGGGACGTCATTGAAGTACATGACATTTCAACTCCAAATTCTCCCAGAAAGCGGAAGTTGACATCAAAGGTATGGTTAGACTTTACTAAACAAAAAAGGTCGGGTCAGAAATTGCAAAGTGTAAACACTGTAAAAGGGATTTTGTAGGAGAAAGTAGTAAAGGGACCAACCACCTAAAAAGTCATTTGTCTAGATGTATTGGAAAATGTCAAAAAAATGTTGGTCAACAAATGTTAACTTTTACCAAAAATGTCTCTGACTCAACAATTAAAGTTCAAAATCATAAGTTTGACCAAGAAAGAAGTCGAATGGATTTTGCAAGGATGGTTATTAAATATAACTATTCATTTAGCATGGTTGAACATGAATATTTTGAGATATTTGTGAATGGACTTCAACCAATGTTTAAACTTGTGTCAAGGAATATAGTTAGGGCTGACATTCTAGAAGTTCAAGCACAAGAAAAAAAAAAAGTTGTCTAATTATTTTGATCAGTTTTTTGGTAGGATCAGCCTTACTACTAATACATGAATTTCTGATCATCAATATATTGGATATATATGCTTGACACCTCATTTTATTGATGAAGATTGGGAATTGCAGAAAAAAATCCTTGCTTACAGGTGCATAGAATATCCCCATGACATGGAAACTCTTTTTAGATCTGTCACAGATTTAATTATGGATTGGAATCTTGATAAAAAGTTGTTTTGTATGGTGGTTGACAATGCAACTATTAATGATGCGATGGTAAGAGGCTTGAGAAGTTGGCCTTGGGACAAGTCTTTGTTATCTTTGAACGGGGATTTATTTCATGTGCATTGTAGTGCACATATTCTGAATTTGGTTATGCAAGATGGCCTTAAAGATTAGAGACTTTATTCATAAGGTTAGAGAAACAGTGAAATATTTGAAAAGATCCTCGTATGCAACACAAAAGTTCAATAATGCAAAAAATCAACTCAAGTTGCGGGACAAAAAGAAAGTAAAGATGGATTGCCTTACTAGGTGGAATTCAACTTTTTAATGCTTGAAAGTGCATTGGAAGTGAAAGAGGTGTTTTGTCGGTTAGCACAAACAGACAGTGGCTATAAATTTAACCCATCTAATGATGAATGGGAAGTGGCATCGGTTTTAAGTGGTTGCTTGAAAACTTTTTATGATGCAACAAATCATTTTTTTGGTAGTGAGTATCCAACTTCAAATTTTTTTTTTTGGTGATATTCAAATGCATTTGACTGAATGGGAAATGAGTGAACATATTTTTCTTCGTTTAATGGCTGCTTCAATGAAAATAAAGTTCAGTAAATATTGGGAGGAGTGTTGTTTGGTGTTAGTAATTGCCATTGTCTTTGATACAAGATTTAAGCTAGACTTAGTGCAATATTATTATGATAAGCTTTATGGTGATGATGCTAATAAATATGTTAAAAGAGTTCGTGGTGCTCTTTCTGATCTTTTCAGTGAGTATAAAATTAATTCTCCTAATTATGAATTTATTAATTGTGTTAAAGGAGATAATGGGCCTACTAGTGACAATACTTGTGAGAGTTCTAAAGATAAAAAACTTAATGGGTTTCATGCATGGTACTTGCGTGGTCGCTCTTCTAATATTCTTACTTATCAGAAGTCAAAATTAGAGCAATATTTGGAAGAGCTGTGGTTTCCAAGAAATGAAAATTTTCTAATTTTGAATTGGTGGAAAGTGAATGGTGCTAAACTTCCTACTTTAGCAAGAATTGCTCGTGATGTTTTGGCTACCCCAGTAACTACAGTGGCATCTAAATTATCATTTAGTGTAGGAAGTAGAGTGATTGATGGATCATGTACTTCCTTGCTTCCATAAATTGTAGAGGCTTTAGTGGTTACAAAAGATTGGCTGCCATCTCGAAAAGGAAAAAAGTAAGTATGTTAATTTAAAATATATTATATGATGTGTGTGTGTGTGTGTGTGTGTGACACACCCTAACTCAAATTTACAATATTAAATAAATTGAACAATTAGAATGTGTCTAACCATCTGCATTAACCTCATACATACATGACGTCATCATACATCAGAGTACCTGCTTAAAAGTTTACAATTTAAAACAAACTATAAGCCCATTATACAAGTTCCAACAAAACTAAACCATTAATTACAAGTTATACTAATTATTTCTACTACAATATTTACATCTTATACAAAAGACGTTTTATTATTTTTTTTCCCATTCACACTTAAGATTCTAGACCTGGCAGTAACAACCCAACATTATACCTGAAAAATATAAATATGGAAGGAGTGAGCTTAAAGCCCAGTGAATGCAACACTACTACTACATCAGAGTAATATAAACAAATATTATCTGATAACTTCAATTAAATTTCATTAACATATAACTTCTAACTTTACATGCATTAAAATATAGTACTCTCTTTCTAGGTCAGAGTATGGACCTTATATGATATAGTATTCTCCTTCTAGGTCAGAGTATGGATCTTATATAATATAGTACTCCCATTCTTGGCTAGAGTGTGTATCTTATATAATACAGTATTCTCCTTCTTGGTTAGAGTATGGATCTTATATAATATATATATGCATTTACAGATCAAATAAATATCTTCGATATTTCAACATACCCATTCAAGTATAAACTTCTAGTGAGTACACTCACCTTTGCTACTTTTGAAATTGTTTATTTATCCTTCGGTAATGTTGAAGTTGTCGGCTCTGTTTCCTTGTTTATACAACATTATAACCATGTTATATATATTGCAAAAAGATTAAACAATTAGTCATCAATTCAAACATAAATTCCACCAACGGGCCAGTGGCCTAGTGGTATCAGTCTCTTACCTCTCAAAGGGAGGTCAGCGGTTCAAGTCTCAGAAGAGACAAGTGTGTGTGAGTACTACACGAACACGACCCCCTCTACACGAAAATGTCATATAGATAAAAAAGAGCAATGCTAGAGTTCATAAAAAAAAAAAAAAAAAGCCCATAAATTCCAGCCTTGGTACATAATTGTAATTGAAATTCGAATAACAACCACATAGATTTAACTTAAGCATAGTAATTACAATCAATTAAGAATTGTATTCCTTTATATAATTTAACACTCGACTAGAAAAATAATGAAATAAATGGATTTTATTCAAGAGCACCTCAATAAATAAATTATTGAAGAATTAGATAATATAAACTTCAAATACATAATCATAAATCCGAAACCCCCTACCTTTAGTACTATCTACAAGAATTTTAGAGAACTTTTCTTTTCCTCTTCCTTCTTTCCTTCCTTTCTTGCTTTTCCTTTTCTTTTATTTTCGCTATCTGATCCTTTATAACAAAACACGTTTTTTCTGTCATCAGCAAAATGAAACACTGTTGTTTCGCCCAAAAGAAAACTTTTTTATGTGTGAGGATTCTCGGTTCCAAAGGCAGTCTAAAACTAGCTTGTAAACATACCATTCATATAGGGTATAAAGAGTTTTTGTGCTGGCAGCAAATTCTTTCTCCTCCATAATTCCATGCATGAAATTCTTTATTGCAAGAACATGTGAACTTTACTTATTTCTCTTTATTCTAATTGGTCACTACAATCTATCTACATGTTTAGTGAAAGTAAATAAATAGTGTGCTGGCAGATTTGGTCTTTCATAAGGAATTGTCATATAAATAAACTACAAGTCAACAAAGCTACTAAAAAAAGTATTTCAATTTAACTAGCATAATAGCTAACCCCGCTAGCACATAGTTTAGAAGGCTTCACCTTTAGCTTAAGTAGCAACACTTTTTATGGTCATGTAGGTTTCTTTTGCATTTGGGTCCTTTTGCCCAACATCTCTGGGACAAAGTCAATGCTTGAAGCTCCCATCATTGTAGGGACTGTAATTATATATACATATATATATATAAGTAATCTTTATATACAATGGAATTAAGAAATGATTTTTTTATTCCTCTAATTGTAGTAGTAATTGTTGAGATAGAATGATAGATTATTAGATGTTGGTGGTTTTTCAAGTTATAGCATGGGTTTTAATTAGGTTGCACAAATGGGTTTCTACATGTGAACAGAATGGTGATTTTACCAACAATTGTCACATGTTGCAATTTGGCTGCAGATGTTGTGTATTCAGTTCATTGTTAGAGACTCAAATTTGGTCTTAATTGGTCTTGATTGAATAGTAGTAATATCAATTGGGATTGTGAGGGTATATGCTTATGCTTTTAGGGTTGGGTAAACTATAGTGAGGCTATTGTCACGGGCTTAGAGTTTCAGCACCACTCTAGCTACTCCCGTGCGGCACCAAGACGTTGCTTCCACTCTCGCAAGTACTTGGTCAGCCTAACTCCCGTGCACACCTTAGCCAACACACTCCCCTCGTGCGCTTACCAGTGTTGTAGTGGCTCTCACCCTCTCCTCACTTGGCTTGCACACTCACACACACTAAGGCACTTAAGTTGGCAAGGAAAGAACACTTCTATTACTTCAAAGAATGCTTTGTATAAGGCTAGCACTCAAGCTCTCTACAAGGCTCTCAAGACTCACTCTAGGACTTGTTGGCTACAAAATGAAGTCATACTCCTATTTATAGGCATCCACATCCCTAATGGATGGTTAGGATGCATTCTAACCAACGGTGGAGATCGATTCTTTAGAATCTTCTCCCACCTTCTTCACACTTCCATACTTATCTACTAGTATCTACAACATTTTAGAACTCTTCATACTACTCCACACAATTCTGGAGAACTCTAGAATATACTATACATATCTAGAATTTTCCACACAACTCTAGAAAATTCCGAAAGACTCTAGAAACTCCACTCGCCATACAATTGCCATACAGCGTCTGCGTGTCGCCTGCGTGGCACAACCTCCATAGGCGGGGCGTGACATTCTCCCCTACCCATTTCCGTGACGCCGTCGTCACGGTTTCTTCAGCTGACCCAGCCTCTCGCAGGTCATCAGCACTTGCGCATATGTCCTTGGCCCAAACGTATGAGCGCCCTTCGGGAGATGTGAGGTCCTTACGAGCTCCATTGTGTTGACTGCCACCTCTGGACTCTCCTTCCTGCCCACGAGCGACACCATGCATGCGGCCTTGCCTTCTTCACCTCCAAGTATCATCAACGCACCAAGGCATGGTAGTGGCGCGGCGTTGTTCCTGTCCATGAATTCCAGCCCTAGCACCATGTCGTGGTCGTCCATCTCCGCAACCTGGAAGTCGGCCTTGCCCTTCCATTCTTGCATGCATAGCTCCACCTCCTTGCACACTCTACTCACGTGTGCCTCCTCAGAGTTGACGGCCTTGATCCAGCCCTCTGTTTTGCGCATCTCCAAGCCAAGTCATTACGCCTCTTTCGGGGTAATGAAGTTGTGTGTGGCGCCCGTGTCCACTAACGTTTGCACGACTTTGCCACCAACCTGCGCATCCACATAGCGCACCCCAGCTACCTTCTTTACCTTGCCCTTCTTCTTGGTGTCATGCGCCATGCTACTCAGCATCTGCATAGCCCCCATGCACCTGTCTTTATCGCTACCCGCATCGTCCATCTTACCCTTGCCCTTATCCTTCACAAGAGCACTCATGGTCTTCTTGTTGGGGTAGTGTTGCAATAGGTGCAGCCCTTCGCACAAGTAGCACTTCGGCGGCTCCCACTTGCCCTTATCGCGGCACTCCCCGTTGCCACTAGCCTTGGACCTCTGTCCATGGTCCTTGCCCTTGTTATGGTATGGGCGTCTCTCCTCATCGCTGTGCTCATCATCACTGGACTTGGGTGAGCCCCCTTTCTTGAAGCGTCGGTCTCCCCTACCTTTGCTGTGGTCCCTCATGGGAGACGTGGCCCTCTTGTCATTGCGCCTAAAGTCTTCAAGGCGCTCCGCTATAGCCATTGCGGATGCCAAGTCTCTAGGCTCCCTCCTTCTCAGCTCTGTGGCTACCCAAGACTGCAACCCATCAATGAACAAGCACACGCGTTGCCACTCCGGCATCTCTGGGATCTCTAACATCAAGTTAGAGTACTCCTTCACATACTCCCTTATGCTGCCTTTCTGCTTCAGGCACCTTAGGTTGATTATGGCGAGGTCCTCGACGCACTCAGGGTAGAACTGCCTCTTGAGCTGCCTTTTGAACTCCTCCCATGTGTCAACCGCTCTTGCGCCCCTGCTGGTAAAGCGCTGCCTCCACCATAGAGCGACAGTGTCTGTGAGGTACATGGTACCTGTCTGCACCTTCTCCTCATCATCCTCGATCTCCATACACTCGAAATATCGCTCCATGTGACAGAAGAAGTTGTCAATCTGGCGCGCATTCCTTGCCCCATCATACTCCTTGGGCTCCAGCGCCTTCTTCTTCCTTGGCTTCACCACGACCTCGCGCGCCTGGGAGAACTACTTTTTGCACTCGGCAATCTCCACGCGCAAATCGTTTACCCGATCATACAAGTCCCTTTCCTTCTCTTGCGCCTTGTTGGCGATGCCATTAATCAGCTCGTAGAGCTCCGCCATCCTTCTCTCGAGCCTGTTAAACTTGGTCTCCGTGTAGACCAAGTGTGTGGCAAGCTTCTCCTCCAAGCTCTATTCCAAGACGTGGACCTGGTGGTCTCCTCCGCTAGCCATGTCTACTCCAACAAAGCTCCCTTGATGAACTTGCTCTGATACCAACTGTCATGGGCTTAGAGTTTCAGCACCACTCTAGCTGCTCCCGTGCGGCACCAAGACGTTGCTTCCACTCTCGCAAGTACTTGGTCAGCTTAACTCCCGTGCATACCTTAGCCAACACACTCCCCTCGTGCGCTTACTAGTGTTGTAGTGGCTCTCACCCTCTCCTCACTTGGCTTGCACACTCACACACACTAAGGCACTTAAGTTGGCAAGGAAAGAACACTTTTATTACTTCAAAGAATGCTTTGTACAAGGCTAGCACTCAACCTCTCTATAAGGCTTTCAAGACTCACTCTAGGACTTGTTGGCTACAAAATGAAGTCATACTCCTATTTATAGGCATCCCCATCCCTAATGGATGGCTAAGATGCATTCTAACCAACGGTGGAGATCGATTCTCTAGAATCTTCTCCCACCTTCTTTACACTTCCATACTTATCTACTAGTATCTACAACATTCTAGGACTCTCCATACTACTCCACACAATTCTGGAGAACTCTAGAATATACTACACATATCTAGAATCTTCCACACAACTCTAGACAATTCCGAAAGACTCTAGAAATTCCACTCGCCATGCAGTTGCCATGCAGCGTCTGCGTGTCGCCTACGTGGCACAACCTCCATAGGCGGGCGTGACACTATGCTTGGATAAGATTTGGAACTTCAATCCTTCACAAAGCGCACACTTCAAAATCTTAAATCGCATAATCTTTTTAAACGGGTGTCACTCTCAGGTTTCAAGTGCACTCCCACTATCACACTCGATTCTCACTTTGTATGACTTAAGTTTTGCAACTGTCGCGCTCTATATAACTTAGACACACAGTCTTGTGAAAATCAAGCCATGTTGATGTAGATATATAAATATATATACATATACTTATATATTGTTTGGATTGAAATATGGATCGAAATAATAACCCATTTTCTATACCCCTTTACAAATTGGTTGCTATATGCATAAAAAATTATTCGTTATTTTTGTCAATTCAAAGGGCATTATAGTCATTTCATAATCTGATGAAAACACAGCCATCTACATCATGTACCTTTATACTATCAATCCCTTCACTGTACAAAATATTCTTCTTTAACCATGCTATCTCTTGCACATGAAATTATTCAGGCTTATATAGATTTATTATCACAGATGGGACTTGGGAGTCCAAGAAATACAGATATATTTTTTTTTAATAGTAGTGAGAAAACCCAGGAAAAATTTATTTGTAATAATCATCAACAAGTGATGTAACTCTATATTATTTTAATTTTTTTCTTTAATTTTTTATTTTTCCTGAATGTGGGTATATTATAAAATCAAATGAAACAATATGGTACAAAGAGAGTGAAAAACACTCGGCCCAAAAAGATAAAGAAAATAAAACAACAGAACAAACAGCCAAAACAAGGATTAACAAACTGTTAACAAACAAGTCAAAACAAGCTTCCGAGATCCTCAAGTGAAAAGCCCCTGAAAAAATTATCAACAGATAACATCATGATGGTATCTATGACCTTTGGTATGTTGTTCTAAGTGGGAAACTGGTAAATGCACTCAATTTTAAAGCTATCAGTAAGTAAATAAATATTAACAACGAGATTTGATTATTCTAGCAACTGATCTTTTTGTACACATTCCTTGTCGTTTTGGTACTTATACGAACACAAAACGTCCTGCAGGGGGGGATTATACAGTTCAATCATACCGCCAATGGACCACGCTCACCAGTGTCATGAGCAAGTTACAATGCAAGGAGCCTGGGAAATATATACCTAAAATTTCTCACCTTTGTTAGATACTGTTCACATTCTCCCCAACGAGATTGTGTTTGGAAACACCTTGTTCAGGACAGGTTCCAATGCTCTTTTGCTGTTGTTGCCAACAATGTTTTTGTAAAGATAGTTTTGCTTACTCCTCGTTGGATACAGAATAGGGCCCTTGACTCCTTTGTGTCACTATGATCATCGACGTGACATCTGCCCATGCAACTTAACCGTTCTAGCAATAACCACGCTCAAAAGCATTGATCATCCATCCTCGCGCTTCATCTTCAAGAGTGTATGTAGACGCAACTAACAAACCTAAACAAAAGAGGCAAATCCCAAGAGAAAATTATCTACAAGGAGATATGTTCCACAATTCCAAACTACACATTAACGACGGAAAAGAGACAAACAAACTTTTACATACTTACATCATTCTCCTCCTTGACTTCGTCCAACAATTGCGATTCAGCCAATAGCCGAGCATATTCACGTTGGAACTCTCCTAAATCACTTCTAAGCCGATTCACCTGCGCAGAAAATATTACAACTTTCATTAAATGCTCAAGAAATAATTCTTCCATTTCTCCCCTCCCCCACTCCCCCTTTTCCGGTGAATGTTTAGCAATAATTCATTTGTTCCTATAGAATCCAACATTTTTTTAACTCAACCAGAATTGTTCAAGGCTCAAGAATTTATACAAGGCAGAATTTGAAGGGCACTTTATCAATTTCTCTGAGATCAGTGACTGCATTTGGCCAGCAATGAAACAATTTGTTTTCTAAGCATCTGAAGTGAAGTGTATTCTGGTAAATCTATCGGACAAGTCCTGGGGAATTTTGCAATAGGTAGAATCATATATTTTAAAAATGTTATCAACTACTCGTACTGTGAACCACCATTATTGTGATCAAATACATATTTGAAGAAAGCTTATAAAAAATAATAAGTATGGCATCCTCAAGCCCAAGTACAGGCTTATACAATGTACAAATGATGATTATTTGTGTTGCTTTAAGTACCTTGAGATTAAGTTCTTTCTCCCTTTTCTTATATTCCAAGCATCTGGGAAACAAAACAAATCATATTGTGAACTTTCTTAATAAAAATAAAAAAATAGTAAGAACTCAATATATATATTGCCAAATATGGTCTTAGTTCCTCAAAGTCTAGGGCAGAAGTGCCTTCTAATCAGAATTCAGTTATAACTGGACCAGAGAGCATGGCAACTACTAAAGCTGTTACAATTGTTCTTTTACTGGGAAGATAGCTAAACATTGTCATTTGCTGGAATGTGTAATTTACCAAAATATAACCAGACTATGTGGTCAAGCAAGCATGAAAATATTCACAAAAAGTTAGATTTATATATCCTCACTGTGCTCGGAGCCTTTTGTTCTCCTGTATCAGGTTTGTCACCTCTTGATCGCTCAACTGATTTGTCGTCAAAGCAAACTACACACAAAGCATGAAAAGTTTTAGCATTAGTCTATAGAATATGACTTCATTATTATTACAAGGTTGGGGGAAAAGAAAAGAATTTGATCCTCAGAATGCTATCAGAGGGAACATCAAGAGATTCACTGAGATTGTTCTGTCTACAGAAAATTGGATAAGACATATAATGTAGAACACAGATCTTGATGCAAAATGTTCTAGTTAATTCTAGGACAACTGCTTACTTCAAATCTTTATTAATAAGAGTTTACATTGATGGACCTTCATAAAAAGAGGACAGTAATGGGCATCATTACTACTTAATATGTTCTTCTCACCACAGGCATAGCAAAAGGGCGAAGCAGGATTTGCATAGCCACACCAAAATAGATTGAGAAAATCCTAGTTAGTTGATTTAAGACTTTCTTATAGTTTCACTTGTTCATAAAAAAATTAAAACCATTATTTGTGCACCAGTTATGTGTCAAGCAGAAGAAATTATCACAATCTCAATGTGTAAAGATATATCTATGCAGGAATTAACAAGATGCAAAAACTATATCATATTAGATTGATATATACTTGAAAACTCTAGTTGACTCTTATCAACATCCATGATCTACTAAAATGATATATAGAAACTACATATTTTGCAAGTAAAACAAACAATATATTATAGATGCAACGGCACACTTCTTTGCTTTTTCCCCCCCCCTGAATTCACGGCATACTTCAAATGGTGAAAATTTCTAAATGTGACCAGTTCCAATAATAAAAAGAACTCCTATTAGGAAGGTAATGATTGTGACATCCCTGCGGGGGAGAGGTTTGATGACACTTACATGTGCGGATGCCTCCCAACTGTGGAGATGCGTTTTGAGGAAAACCATGAAAACTGAGAGGAGGGTGTGAAAAGTGGACAATATCTACAGAGGTTGGGGCAGGTCTTGACAGATGGTATCATAACCAATCTCAGCCGGAAATGGGGGGAGTGTGCACAAGCCCATGAGGGTTCATCTAGGAAGGAGGCTGGGGCCCAAGAGGGGGCGATTGTGACTTCACACATCGTCTGGGGGGAGAGGTTTGATGACACTTTTATGTGGGGATACCTCCCAACTGTGTAGACGGGTTTTGAGGAAAACCATGAGCAATGAGAGGGGAGTGTTCAAAGCGGACAATATCTACACGGGTTGGCGAGGGTCGTGACAATGATACCAATAGAACTAAAATACGATGTACAATATGGAAATTCAGTAGCAGAATTTGTCTGATGCAGAATCCATGCCAAGCAGAATTAAAGTTTACAACACTCTATGGTACAGAATGTTAGGTAGTCAATGAACATGATGTTCAAAATATGAGTGTAACTGAAATTGCAATGCTACGATGAACTAAGATAAGAGAAATTTGTTTGAGATGGTCTATGTATCACATAGGCCAATAGATATGCTGATAGAAAAAAATTTGATGAACTAACATGTTGCAAACAACTTCTACTTAATGCTTATAAACCAATATGCCCTCTTTGTCAAACTAAAGATGACAATGTTTTCTCTGCATTAGATACTTAGTCTATGCAAAAGTAGGTGATATCATCTGCGTCAATAATTCCAATGAAAAGAGCAGCAATATTAGCAATACTGCTATGCTGCTATTTTAGCATCTTCAGGTAAGGAGAACGAGATCTATATCCTATAATATATATTCCATAAATTAATATTATATACTCAATATGTTAATTAGAAAAATGCATCATTGAATTGAATATACAAATACGAAATTTTCTCAGAAGACATTCTCTCGCATATAATCCGAATCTATTTTGAAAAGGAAAAAAAAATCAGAATGAAAAGTGTCCATTATCTAATGGATAGGACAGAGGTCTTCTAAACTTTTGGCATGGGTAGAAATCCTACTATGACGTGCCAATGACACAATCTTCAACTCAAGGTCCAGCACTAATAGAAGTTGCTTACTCTCTTAGAAGCCACAGAAAAGGGCAGGGCTCTTTTCATAGTAATAGTCTCACGAGATCCATGCCATCTGTCGGAATCAAAGGTCAGAGGACCATTTGATTCATTAAGGAGCAAATATCTAACTTTTGTGTCTGACAAAAAAAAAAAATTAGCCCATGCTTTAGTGTCCTTTTGGGTGCACAGTGATTTGATTAGGATTGTAATAAACATTGGTAGGTTGTTTCTGGCTCTCTGCCTTATTGCTTACAGAGTTGTACCAAACTCTCTGTTGGATGAAACATCCTCAAATCCCTCCTTGCTGATTTATAAGATGCATTAAAAAACTAAATGTTCTCATGTGCCGAATAAATGGTCCATTACTAATGCTAATTCCCATAAAGTAATCCTAATAAATGCCAATTACACGTCCTTCAGAAATTATAAGACATTACACTTCAAGCTGATTATCACTGTTTTGTACAATTTTCATGAACAGATTGTAAGCTGGCAATCTACAGTCAATTCTGAGGAAATATTATAGGCACTCGTGATATGAACCTGCAATTCCTGACTGAACCCAGCATTAATTGCAGTGTCTACCATCCCAGTCTTCCTTTTGACCTTTTCAGGTTCTACTAAACAACCATGTTCTTTCCTCTTCAATTGTGCTGCTATGCATGTACGAGGCATCATCAATTAGATAGATAAGAAAAGTTAGTAACAGCCTAAACATTGAAATTCATTAAGCCATTTACCTTGGGAGTTTCCTTGAGAGTTGATTATTGATTGTCTGGGACTTCCAACTAAGAAATTGGAGGAAGCAGCTGATGGATGCTGAAGGACCTCACCTGCCGATGCTGGTCTTATACTACCAATAGCAGAGGAACTTCTACTCAACACAACAGGTTGCGTAAAAGTATGCGGTCTGCAATCAGATGATGCCTGAGACAGCATTGATACCCGAGGTTTTTTCGTAGGCTGATACCCAATGAGTCCACAATGATAATCCCTGCCAAAGTAGACTTATCAGATATTATGTATGCTTACAGGAATTCCATAAACTACTACTTAAAATTATAAGTGTTTGTACACTACATAGGTAAAAAAATCATTCCATTTTATTCTTCCAGCCTTTAAAAGAAAAAATTCATAATTCCATGTAAATGTAAATATAATAATTCCATTTTTGTTGTCAAAAGCCATTAAAGATGGCATCATTTTATTTTTTTTCTCTGTTTTCAAAGAATAAGAACCAGCATCCTCAACATGTAGATAAAAGAAGATAAAATGTGGGGCCAACAGTTCAAAACTTATTCAGCTACAGCAAGATTTCTGCAAGTAGAGACACAAATACAATAATCTGCCATCTGCACTTCAATTTAATGAATAGCTTACCAGTATTCAAATGTCATTTCCCTCAAACGGACTTCAAGCTTCTGAAAAACGTTGGTTTTCTCAAAATCTTGTTTATTGTGAGTGGGCTCAATAAAATTGGCTTCCAGAATACCTAAAAGAAACACAGTCACTCAGCACCTACTCACTGCTATTTGGAGAAAAGAAAAAGAGACCACCTTGAAAATAAAACCATCCAAGTGTAACAAGTGCTTCAGAGGTTTCTCACCTACAACCCCTCTACCTCTGTTGCTACTGTAGCTTACAACATGCCAATATGGCTGCAAAGAAATACATTGACACAAGGAAGTAAGGACCAAGTCACTGCCACCTGAAAACATATCAGTGTAACATAACACACACACAGACACTATATATATTTGCAATCTCTGCCAGTTGTTTTTGCACGCAAGAGTGAAGCTATCATCAAGATATTAACTAACATTGTTTAATCAGGAAAAATATTTCTCTTTTCTACTAAGTATTCATCCTCACCAGCTTGTATCTAGCAAAACAGTGTCAGAACAGACCTCCGCGTCATCGTTTCTCCCTAGTTACTTTACTCCCTCAACACCCCCACCCCAAATTACTATGAAAATTAATTAACTTGAAAAAAACCCTAACAAAATAAGAGAGAAAATAGAACCTTTTAATATATATATATATATATATATATGTATTGTTGAGAGAGAGAGAATATATGAAATTTTTTATGTTATTGAGTAAGTAATACAATAATACAATGGTGTTTATATAGGAAAAGTTACGGGAGTAGGTGAGTGGAGAACAAGAAAATCCTATACATGGTAATTCTATATATATGGTAATGAGGGGTAGGTGACAACTCATACAACACTAACTGTACACGTGTGACAACTCATACAATATTGTACAACACTCCCCCTCAAGCTGGAGAGTAAATGTCAATAACTCCCAGCTTGCTACATATGGAATCAATAGAGTTCTTGGGAAGCACCTTAGTGAAGATGTCTGTCAGCTGTCTACCAGAAGGAACAAAAGGTGTAACAATCTTATTCGAGTCAACTTTAGATCGAATGAAATGGCAATCTACTTCAATGTGTTTAGTCTTCTCATGGTAGACTGGATTGCTAGCAATATGAATAGCTGCCTGATTGTCACAGTAGAGAGGAATTGGGTACTGGACTGAAATCCCAAGTTCTTGTAAAAGAGTTTTCAACCAAGTAAGTTCACAGGCAGTGTGTGCCATGGCACGATACTCTGCTTCAGCACTGGAACAAGCCACAACTGACTGTTTCTTACTCCTCCAAGTTACTAGATTTCCTCCGATGAAGGTGCAGTAACCCATGGAGGACCGTCGATCAAAAGGAGAACCGGCCAGTCTGCATCTGTATATCCCTCAATCCGAAGATGTCCAAAAGATCGATAAAGCAGACCATGTCCCGGAGCACCCTTGAGACACTTCAAGATGCGTACAACTGCTTCCATGTGAGGTACCCGAGGACTGGTCCTGAACTGGCTCACAACACTGATTGCATAGGAGATGTCTGGACGAGTGATTGTGAGGTAAATAAGTTTACCTACAAATCTCCGATACATCTCTGGATTATCGAGTGGGTCACCATCATCCACCTTAAGTTTTACATTAGTCTCCATGGGTGTAGCTACAGGTTTCGAACCAAGATATCTAGTATCCTATAATAGATCAAGAGTATACTTCCGCTGAGAAAGACTAATGCCTTGCTTCGACTGAGCCACCTCAATTCCTAGAAAATACCGAAGTTTGCCCAAATCCTTAGTAAGGAAGCTAGAACTCAAGTGATGGATTAAAACTTGTATCCCATCTTTGTCATTGCCGGTGACAACAATATCATCTACAAACACGTTTTCTTAAAAAAGAGAGAGTGGTCAGCTTGGCTTCTGGTCATACCATGAGCTACCATTGCTTTACTGAACTTATCAAACCATGCACGAGGGGACTGTTTGAGGCCATAGATAGACTTCTTGAGATGACACACACACTCCCCCTTATACTCAAACCCAGGTCGTTGAGTCATATAGACTGTTTCATTAAGGTCACCGTGCAGAAAGGCATTTTTAACATCAAGCTGATGAAGTGGCCAGTCTAGATTAGCTGCAAGAGAGATTATCACACGAACAGAATTCAGTTTGGCCACAGGAGAGAACGTCTCAATATAATCAATGCCAGAAGTTTGAGTGTAGCCTTAGCAACAAGTCGAGCTTTGAGACGGTCAACAGTACCATCAGGCTTCTGCTTAACAGTAAAAACCCAACGACAACCAACAACCTGAGTATCAGCAGGCTTAGGAACAAGGTCCCAAGTATAATTCAATTTTAAAGCGTGTATTTCTTCTTCCATAGCTTTCCTCCACCTTGGATGAGAAAGTGCCTCCCTATAGGACTTAGGAAGAGCAATAGAGGATAATGACAAAGGAAAAGCTTGAAAGGAGGAGGATAATTTATTATACGATACAAAATTAGAGATAGGGTGATTGGTACAAGACCGTTTACCTTTCCGAACAACAATAGGTTGATCAAGGTGTTTAAGCAACTGGTGAAAGTGGCAAGGCTGGGTTTACTACTTTAGTCGTTGGAACATGATTAAGTACTCTTTTCCGGCGACTATCATAGACACGAAGAGCCGGTGGGATGTCAGAATCAAAAACTGGAGTTGGAAGAACAGAGTTCTCCAGGGGACTACCTTCCTGAGAATAATAAGGAACATCCTCAAAGAAAGTTACATCTGCACATGCAAAATGTTTACGAAGAGTTGGACTGTAACATTTATATCCCTTTTGAGTGCGAGAATAACCTAAGAAGATACATTTGTGAGCATGAGGATCAAGTTTGTCTCGTCCCGGGCTTAGATTATGAGCAAAACAGACACACCTAAACACCTTTGGAGGAATGGAAAAAGGATTTTTGTCAGAAAACATCATTTTGGGGTGATTTTCCTTTAAGGACCCTAGAAGGCATGTGGTTTAAAAGATAAGCAGCAACCAGAACTGCATCTGCTGAAAAAAGTTTTGGAACATGCATTTGAATTGTTAAGGCACGAGTGATAGCTAAGAGTGGGCCATTCTTCTGTTCAACAACTCCATTTGGTTGAGGGGTATCAACACAAGATGTTTGATGGATAATGCCCCTCGACTCAAGAAACTTTTGAAAAACATTAAGTTTATATTCAAGCACATTGTCAGTTCTAAGAACAAGTAATTTTGCATCAAACTGATTTTGAATTTCAGCATAAAAGGATTTAAAAACAAAGAATACTTGAGATCTGTCTTTAAGAATGTAAACCCAAGTTAAACGTGAATAATCATCAATAAATAACACAAAATAACGAGCACCAAATAAACCAGTAGTACAAGCTGGTCCCCAAACATCCGAATGCACTAACTCAAAAGGTTTTAAACTTTTATCAAAAAAAAGATTTAAAAGTAGCCCGACGATGTTTACTAAGTTCGCAAGTAGTACAATTAAACTTAGAAAAATCAACTAAAGAAGGGACCAAGGCTTGAAGACTATTTAAAGAGGGATGTCCAAGGCGGCAATGCCACTAGTAAGCTGAAGAAGAGGTAGAATGTAGAGCTATCGGAACAGTAGTTGGCTGGAAGTAGTAAAGACCATCCTTCTCAAACCCCCCACCAATCGTCCTGAAAGACACAACGGGAAGGAGAAAAAGTTTTAAATCTGATATGATTTTGCGCACTGACAATAAATTGAATGAAAATTGAGGGATATATAAAACTGATAAAAAAGTGAGACCCGAAGTGCGGAAGGTACCAATTCCATGAACAGGTGATTTGGCACCATTCGCTATAGTAACATCCGATGGTGAGAAAACATGAGAAATATCAGAAAGAAGAGATGGGTTACCTGTCATGTGATCGGATGCCACTGAAGATAAAGCATGGAGACACGTATTACCTGAAGTAATGATAGTAGAGGTGGAGGAGGACTGATTTTCATGCTCACGCTTTACCAGTTTGGTGCTGGTGATTGACCTAAGAAGATGGGATTCCTTAGTATCCATCACAAGAGCTGCCGAACAAATGAGATATAGTAGCGAGAGCGAGCCGAGATAAGAGAACCAAGATCTAGCTGAGATGAACCCGAGAGAAATTATCGAGGAGAGAGCTGAGGAGGGATCTGAGAGAGATTGCTAAAGTTGGTACGCGGAGATTTTAACTGTAACTTGAAACTAAGTACGAAGTTGTTGAGAGTCCGAAACGAGTTGCAAAGATCCGAGACGAGTTGATCCGTAAATTGGAGTCTGAATAAGACTAAGAAAAAATATTTAAAGAGGGATCGATTTCTGCTCTGATACCATGTTGAGAGAGAGAGAGAGAGAGAGAGAATATATGATAAATTATATGTTATTGAGTAAGTAATACTACGTACAATAATACAACGGTGTTTATACAGTAGAAGTTACGGGAGTAAGTGAGTGGAGAATAAGAAAACCCTATACATGGTAATTCTATATATATGGTAATGAGGGGTAGGTGACAACTCATACAATACTAACTGTCTACGTGTGAAAACTCATACAATACTGTACAACATATATATATATATATATTGATTGTTAGTTCGGGAGATTTTCTGTTGCTTTTGCTATTTTTCTTCTTAAAAACAACTAAAAAGCAAAAGGGCAGTCAAGAATTCCCAACCCCAACAAAGAAATCCATAGAGAAACAACCGAGAGTGTTTTAGATAGTTGTTGGAACAACTTTGTTTCTTTCATGCAACCATTCTATCTCCAACTCAAATTAAGGCTTCCAATTCAACAAAGGTTTGAATAATAGTTGGGTGCTTAATTATATCCAAATGGATAACCCATTTGCATTTTGGGTCAATACATGGATACACAAGGGTTCAAGGGTATTATGGAGATTTTATGACCACAAATGTACTCTTTCATAAATTTTAAGACGGTCCGCAAATTGCAAGGGGTGATTTGCAACATTTCAGAATAGTTCACAAAAATGAAAGCTCGGGGGGGGGGGGGGGGGGGGGGGGGGGTTAATAATCATCCATATAAACATAACATAAGCCTTTTTAAAAATAAAACCCAACTCGGCGAAACACTCCAACGTGCCTGAAATACATGGTTACCTCTCTCTCTCCCCCTCTCCCTTTCTATCTGTCATATTTCCGTGAAGTCACATTTCTTTGTTCCTATCATATTGGTTAGCAAAATCGGAAGTGAATACCGAATATTGAAGCAACAATTGATATTTGGGTGGAGAATAGTGCCAATTTATTGTAAAGGTCC